CCTTATCAAAAGAAAACATCTTAAATCAGCCTGCATGAATACTTTGGAGGGTGAGATGGGGCCTCCTTTAGGAAAGCATACCAACGCTTAATTCTGTCTTATTAACAAGCATTGCCGCTACAGTTGGATTCTAAAGCCATCAAAAGAATCAATTTTGTGATTTACGGCTACAATTAATAATTGTCCCCGTAAATGCCAAAACCCTACAGAACTGGTGCCTCGTGAGAACACACTACACCTGACACAAATTAATTTTATTAAATTTCTGACCTCTGGCTAACCCTGCAAAAATGACCCCACAAAACCTAATAGAACCATCTTTCCTAAGCACTGCGGCTATGGATGTATCCGATTTGCAATGTGAGACTGGCGCCAAAATTCCTGCTTTGACAAAACATTCAAGGTCAGCTTCCACTTTAGGCCTGATCACGTAACATACAGGTCTGGTTTATAGCAGTACTGTTGACTGTTCCGTACTTAATTTTACACTGATTTCTTTCATACTTCCTGGCTCTCCATCAAAAAGAGCAGCATGCGTCCCCAACACCACTGTCAATCCATCATTTTCTTTCATCATGGTATACACTTTGGTCCAGCTGACTGATTTTGTCTAGCCAAGACCTACCAATTGGGGCATGATAATTGCCCTTCACCACATACTGTATAGGGTGAGGTCGCTGTCTGTAAATTTAGCTCCACTTTGGCATCTACAGCCCAGAGCATAGGAACTGATCCTCTAGTCTACGTTCTCAGAGTAATTTTGCTAAAACTTAAATGCTGAAACTTCTGCTTGTACAGCTCCTGTTTCAAGCTCCATTCACACTGGTTGCCCTGCTGTAAGGGGTGTTACCCAGTAAGCATGTGAACCCCCAGCCATCGACAATATGTTGAATGGAATGTCTTCTTCAGTCTGTGTGTCACTCTTGTCCTCTGGTACTTGTTCTACAACATGTAGCATTTATCTTTTTCTTCTGCCAACCTGCTGTTTTTGCTTTTTCACTTTTGTCATGTCTTTGATAAAGTATTTATTTTACAAGCCCACTCAAGGTGACCGTTTTTCTAACATTTCCGATTATTGCCAACATTCTGATGGATGTGTCCTGGTTTTCTGGAATGGCAGTACTCTCGTGTTCCAGCTGATGTATGCCCATGTTCTGTAGATAACTTGTGTACTCTTGTAAATGTACTCAACCATTGTGCTTCTTTCACTGCTGTTTCCATTGGCACTGCAATTTCAATGACTTTATTCAAGGTAACGCTAGACTTACTAGACTAGACTATTTTTGTATGGCCACACTGCACAAGCTACAGATGAATCTGTCATTTAGTGCTTCATTAAATTCACAGTGATCCACGATCAGTTTAAGAACACCTACAAACCAGGTAATTGTTTTACCTTACTCTTAATTTCTCTTGTGAAATCGAAATCTCTTTGCTATACCAACTTGTTTTGGAGAGAAAAGTGTTTCTAGTATTTTGAGGACTTCAATGTATGATTTTGTATCAGGGTTATCGGATTAGGTTGAACCATGCTGCACAGTAAACCAAAGGTTCTAGCATCCATTACATGTTGAAAAGTCGCTGCTTTTCTTTTGGCAGCAATTTTGTTTGCCTGGACAAAAAACTCGAATCGCTTTGTGTAGAATCCCCACTTTTCCACTGTTTCATCAACCTGTCCAAAAGGTCCATTAAGTGTTTTATTATTTTTTTCCTTTTTACTAGCAACCCACTGTACTTTTCCTCAGGCCATTTTAAAGAGCAGTACAGCACAGTTAGAAATCCAGAGTCCTTGTTGTCAGTTAATGTATATTTTTACCCCTTCGATCTTTCTGGAAAAGTCATGAATTGCAGGGAACAGAGCTGAAGTATAACATTTTTCACTTAGTCGTAACAGATACATTAATGTAACAATAAGCCTACATTACCCACAATTCTGCTTAGACTACAGTAAAGCAAATAATCCAAAATATATAACAACATTAATCTTGATGATTTTGATTATCTAAGATTAAAACTTTTAAGGATTTATTACTTGGATTTTTTGCAGATTAAAAGAGTCAAGCACAGACTGATTCAAGGACATCAGAGAGGATACTGCTGGATTCATGAAGAACTGAAAAATCAACAATTCAATTCAGAATGAACTTCATCTGCTTAATTTAATTAGTGAGGGTGGTAAGAGCTCTGTACCTGTAACTGGAAGGTTTTTCATATCCCACATGACAAAATTAATCAATGTGGTTAATACACTGCAGTTACGGCCAAGACTTTAAAATTGTGTTTTATTCTATTGTTATTTTGTTTCTGTTCACCTGGTGTTGGGTGGGCTGTGTTATACCTGTTGAAAGGAATTTAGTGTTTTGAATATACCCTCATGTTACGCATTTTCAGTTTGCAAATGTAAGTAACATTTCCTGTGACTGCTGTTATTTTTGATCTGTCAGAAGTGGTTCATTTATACTCTGTGACCGTGTTACACTGATAATATTAAACTGAAACTATCCTCCTCCCATGGTCCAATGTAATGAAAATCATCAGAAACCAAAGTTAAAATATGGTAAAACAATATTAAGAATGTGAAAAGACATTACCATCACATAACTCTGAATGTTTACCAAGGCATTAATGGAGTATAATTACATAGCAAAATAATGAATAAACTAATCTGTGTCTTACCTCAGTTAGTGTGCCCTGAGGATTTCAGTTCAAATAGTTTTCCTGGAGCAGTTAGTGGATAGATTTACAAGTCTGCTATGGGCTGCACCAATGAGCTCCTGATGCAGGATTGTTTCTCCACCCTTTTTCAGAGATGACAGTTTGATCAGCCAATCACATATTAAACCTTCAAGCAGAACACGTTTCCATGGATAAGTGCAGCTCAAACATTAAAGAAAGTACATTACACAGCTTGTATATTTCTCCATTGAAGTTTAAGGTAATGTTATTTTGTGTCAAAATATACCAACTTAAACAACACAATCGCCTTCTGTGATTCTGAAACCTGACATCTGAGCTCCTTTGTATACAAATCCCTTGTAGAAGGTGTGTGAAAAGAGTGTGAAGCAAGCGATTCACCACTGATCCGGAAGAGAGATGAGACTGCAAAAGGCAAGGAACTGACAGCAGAGACAAAAGAGTGGAAACGTTACAGAGATAAGCGAGACACAACAAATGCCAAAGATTTAGCTGGGAAGCTGTAGGCCTAAAACTCAAGAAGTTTTTATTTTTGTTTCCACTTGTTTTTCCCATTGGTAAAACCATGCCAATTTCTTTCTGAAACTGAACCATTAAGTTTCTTTATTTTTGCCTGACATAGACTTTCTCCCCACTTGTCCATTCAAATCACCCACGTTTCATAAATGGATGGGACAATGAATACATTTGTCACTGATGAAATCATGTAAATTATTCAAACCCTCAGAACTAATTTGTACTTTTCATGTTATTACAGGCAGGGCTATGTAAAAATAATTACATAAATGAGGCTCAGTTCTGAATCATAAAATCAGCTCCTGGCATCAGCTGGCCCTATTAACAATTGCACAGCCCCTGTTGCATTTGGGTACTGTGTTGTAACATTTCCAGGCAATGTAAAGTAGCAGATAATGAAAAAGGCACATATTTAAAAAGACAAATAAATACTTTACAAAATTCAATACTAACTGCTGTTTACAGGCTATGTGCAGTTATTTACAAGAACAAGTAATAGGTTTATTGCATGCTGAAAAAGAGAAGAAAGAAAATACACGGTTTCAGCTGTAGAGGCTACTTCAGGTTTAAGAAAGACAGGGCAGTAAGCAAAAGTGATGTAGCATAGAAGAACAAAAGCTTGGAGAGAGGAGGAGTGAGAGGCAGGAACAGGGGACAGACAGAGTGGCCGATCAGGTAGTGTGAAGTAGGGATAGGTGAGGAGAGGTGTGAAATGAAATCTGCAATGAATAAAGAGAATTTAGAAGAAACATAATCTTTCGTTGAGAGAAATTTGAGGATTTTGAAGATAATTTTAGTTTCTGTAGTCTTTCTGATGTATGAGTTAGGAAAACCATCTTTGAGAACATAGACGGAGAGATTAGAGTTGTCATGGCCGTCAGAGATGAAATGAGAGACAATGGGCTTGGAGAAATCTTTAATCTTCAAAGCCCTAACATGTTCTCTGAAGCGGTCTCTGAGTCTCCTTCCTGTTTCCCCAATGTAGATGGCTGGGCATTTACTACAAGAGATACAGTAAATAAGGTTGCTGGAGGTACAAGATGTCAACTTGGTGATCCTGAATTGTCCTGAGGGGCCTTGAATGAGTGTGGCGTTAGATGTGTACTTGCAGGTGATGCAGTGAGCTCTGTTGCAAGGGAAAGTGCCTGGTGTGGATGGTTGCTGAGGGCAGTCAAGGGAGCTGTGAACAAGAAGGTTACACAGATTAGGTGGTCGGCGATATGAAATGATGGGGTGGTCCCAATGGAGGGATCATCCTGTAGGATGGAAAAGTTGTCGTTAATAGTCCTGGGACTAGGAAGTGTGTTGGAGTGGTAGGGAAGCACCAGAGGAATGTGGATGTTACAGCGGGAGTTCCTGATTGAGTTAATGTTCCGAGGGTTGTTTTTGGCTGAGGCAAGAGCCCTGTCAATAATACTGCTAGGGTATCCTCTGTTGATGAAAAAAGGGTACATTTTGAGGGCTTGGTATTTACAAGAACAGTCAGCACCTGGGCCCAGGATTCCACAGAGCCTGTAAAAACCTAAATGCTACAAAGAACAAATACTGTAGAGGAAAGGGGACCCATTTATTATGCAATAAGAAATTCTTATTAAATGTTGTTATGAAACAAAACTGCATACAAAGGACAAAAATCACTTTACATGGGTGTTAAAATGGGGAACCTACACTGCAAATACCAAACAGTGCATCAAAATACAAATGGAATTTCCAGTCCAGATGACATTAATATTCCCAAAAAGCAACAGTCTGTATCTTTAAAGTGCTCAAATTACCTAATTTAAGTATACTAAGAACAAAGTGATAGCCAGCTGTTTTAACCCTAAATCCTTCTGAAAAATACCATTCACTATCTATCCTAGGTGATCGTCTGACACAATGTGTTGTTGTTTTTTTTTGCTTATACGACTTTGGTGTAGTGTTTATAATCTTAATTAAAAAGTGGGGTAAGAATTTTCCAGATAATTTCATAATGTTCAAATGGTTTGGAAGATTTATCACTATAGATGTGTGTGCTTAATGCATTTCATTCAAATCTGCTGTCATCTAAAGCTAGATACTGGTCAAACTCATTTTGAGAAATGGCTGTCCTTGAACACCAGCAGCAGTTTCCTCTTCGAATTGTACCTTTCAATATTATTAAAACACATAAGAATTCCTATGTGGCTGATTACTTCTAAAGCTATAAAAAGAACAAAGAAGTATTATAACTATTAATTAATTTAATGCAATTATTGCTGCCTAATAACAGTTGTCTCCACAGATGACATTGTTATAGTGCATGCTGAGACTTGGTTGAATCTTCCTCCTACTGGAGTGCGAATTTGGACACACTTAGCTTAATTGACACATGGAAAGGGACCAGGCAACAAATCCAAGGGAGATCCAATGGGGTAGTTCGGGCACAGTCCAATGTCCAGTCCAACATAACAGCACTGGGTGCTCCGATCCCCAGATTCAGGAGTCAGGATAGTGTGATGAAGCCTGTGCCCTCGGGCCACTCCTGTGCCCGGAGGTAGGTGGGTTTCAGGGCATCTGTCTTCCAAAGCTGGGCCTGCAGAGACTGCAGAGACGCCGGTCTTAAATAACAAAAAGGGGGACAAGACTCAGGTGAAAGTACTTAAACTAAACATAATACAAAAACTACTCTAGAGGAGGGAGACAACCGTGACAGATAATGAAGAGAAATACAGTAGTCTTCAATAGGAATTCATCTGCTCTGACTCTTCCTGTAGATTTTTCAAGACATAAGAATGGATTCATAGGAGATGAAGATGAGCTGTAGAAACTTGGCTAATCCCCGAGACAAAAAAACTGTTTTTTGGACTGAGCATGCTTTACAGAAAGGGGTACCACCAGTAAACCATAGGAGCCCGGAGGGATTCCATTTACCAAACAGTGTCCAAAACATGAACGTAAAAACAGATGATATGCAGATGAGACTATGTATAGCAGGGCTGGGTCCAGCATTCACCGCAGACTTCATTGTGCAGCCTGCTTTATATGTGGGTGAGTTTTGATGGAGTTTTTTTTTGTTTTTACTCAGAACCTGCGAAGTTCTTGTAGAATTCTGAATGTAATTGTTTTCTCCAACACATCTGCGTCAGACCTCCTGATACATTGATTTGAATGAAACACATTTTAATTTGCATGATACCTGCAGAGTGTGGTCAGTCAGAATATATGCATAATTGAGATGATTATGTGTATAGCCAGTTTGCTTGAGCCACCTGGTACAGGTGTTCATTGTTGACACCTGCTATAAAGATAAATGCTGGACAGGACTGATTTACTTTGGAGGATTTCCATAATATTGTACAAGAGAACTTCACTGCGGATTTGGTAAGAGGGAACTTAGATTTTGTGCATTGTGTACATACAGTAAGTCAGCACTATATCCATACTTGAGATTTCATTTTTGAAAATGCTTGTATTTAAAGGTTGTGAAAATCTTCAGTATGCATACTATTATGAAAAAACCATATATGTAATAAATTTACTTTATATACATCTTAAATAACTTACATTCTTTTTATTAGCATAGTTGAATCTAAATGCGAAAAAGCTTGTCAAGTGATAAGACTTTATGTACATTGATCAATGCTGAAAAACTCGCAACAGCTCAAGGCAAATTATACAGGAGAAGATCATATGAAGTGAAGTAGCAGTTAATACGTCACATTTACCAATAAAACTTACTTTAATCATTCTCAGGTGTTTCTCACCTGACCCAACCTCACCCAGATTGATAGATTTCTACTATTCTTTTCTACACATCCATAAAATAATGCAGATTTACCAGGAATAATATTCAGAAGATTACCACCAGATTGGGTTCCTTCTCAAAGAAGGAAAAATACAATTAGAAATGATAACTCTTGATCACACAGAAAACAATCAGTATTTCTTAGAACCTGGTGTCAATTAATTTTTCTGCACATTACTAGTTGTCATTAAAAAAATAAACATAAACATTTAATCTAGATTTTTTTATTTTTTATTTCAAGGACTAAAAATGCTTATTATTGGAAAGGTTTTGCTATTTCTGCCTACTTTATAGACACTGTGATGGACAAATAAATCAAGAGAAGCAAAATAAAACAGAAATGAGTTGAGGGGAATGAATATTTCATAACACATGTCTACAGGAATAACACAGTCTGTTATCTTACAAGCCTGGACAAGAGCACATTCATTTATAGATGAAGCATTTTAATATGTAAATAAGAGAAAATATAGAACACAATAATACATTTTTGGGAAAACA